GATACTGGAGTAGGTTAGGTAGGATGGGTTGATACTGGAGTAGGTTGAGTAGGATGAATTGATACTAAAGTAGGTTAGGTAGGATGGATTGATACTGGAGTAGGTTAGGTAGGATGGGTTGATACTGGAGTAGGTTAGTTAGGATGGATTGATACTGGAGTAGGTTAGGTAGGATGGGTTGATACTGGATTAAGTTAGGTAGGATTGATTGATACTAAAGTAGGTTGAGTAGGATGGATTGATATTAGAGTAGGATGAGTAGGATGAATTGATACTGGAGTAGGTTGAGTAGGGCTTTAATAAACGCGGAGAGGATTAAGTAAGATGGATCTATACTAAGTAGGTTGAGTAGGATTGATTGATACTGGAGTAGGTTGAGTAGGATTCTGGAGTAGGTTGAGTAAGACGGATTGATACTGGAGTAGGTTATGTAGGATGGATTGATACTGGAGTAGGTTAGGTAGGATGGATTGATACTAGAATAGGTTGAGAAGGATGGGTTGATACTGGAGTAGGTTAGGTAGGATGGGTTGAAACCTGATCTATATTGTTTCTGGATTATATCAGTAGAAACCAGACACCACAGTACCCGGGGGGGGGGGGGGAGGGTATACCCGAAGATTACACTGAAATGGAAATTTATGAATAAGAAGTTGAACTTGGATGGTTCAACTAATTTGAACTGGAACGAATAGTTTATAAGGAAAAAGTGAAAGGGGTACTATTTGCATTTAAAATCTGAAATATCGCATTTCATTTTAGCCACAAACTAAAACTACGACATTGTTTTCGGAAAGAAACTGGATATGATTAGATTTTAAAAATTAGTGATTTAACACAAAATATGAGGATTAGGGTTTAGGGATTTAGCAGAGAATATGATTAGGGTTTAAGGATTAGACTTTAAGGAGTTCTGAGGAAAAGTTTGCAAATGAAAGGTGTTTTAGTAGGAAACTGTAAAAATGATTTCCAATGAGATTTAAAGTTTCTTGTTTTGAAAGTGTAAACGTTTATATTGTCAGATGACAAAAATGTTTTTACAAAATTGATGAAACCAATAATCTGGGGAAACTAGATTGCACAAATCCTCAAACTTTGCCAAAATATAGATTAGAACTTTAGTTCTATGATTAGAACAAATTAAAGACTTTAACCCTATAAAGGCTGGGGGGTCTGAATCTATGTGTAGCCTTTTTCTAAGGGGGGCGTTTGGCGCCCCCCCCCCTGACAAAAAAGGCCTTAGAGAATAGGTATTGGGTTGAAATGTATGTTTATAGCCCAATTATTCAAGGCCAGCTTAAAAAAAATTAGACCGATAACTTTAATAGTTTGGGTGCTAGGGAGGATTGAAAAAATGCCTAAAACATATTTTTTTAAAACAAATAACAAAGTGTGAAACTTGTTTCTATATGCATTTTTCAAGGACTTTTCAAAAATATAGGTTTTAGATCTGTAGCTTTAGCCACAAAAAAAGTTATGAGCTATTTTAGATTTTTTCCGCCCTGTACCATACCCTATAAATAAAAAAATTTTTTAAAAAATCCTTTAAATTATTATTTATTATAAGTCACAAAATTTCACGGTGATAGTGCTCTGACAAAAAAAAAACTACAGGGGGGGTCGCCGAACGCCCCCCCCCTAGCCTGTTTAGAGTTAAGGGACTGTACACGTAATTTCAAGTGACAGCTCTATTTTAGAGTTTGTGGCCGATTCAAACCTTTGACTGATTAGGGATGACATAACTGTCTTTATATATATATAGATATTATTGTTTATATTCTAGGAATAGAGAATCAGACAAAGATTTAACGGGTACCATTGTGAATCAGATATTCCACTTACTGTGATCTCGCCCTGCTATATTTGATGCATTTAACGTGCTGGGTCAATGTCATTAAACTGGGTGATCCAGACTGGACTGTACAACTGAATGCATATATACAGTACATGCGTACCGTCCCGGATCACACGTTTTCAGTATTTTTTTTATTATTATTAAATAACGACAACATAAAATGTAAAAAACACTCTACAGTAAACTAATTAGTTGTTTAGAACAGGCTGGGAAAATAAAAATGAATCTTATCATCGAAAATAAGTAATCTTGTTCAATTATTAGTTTCTATTTTCTCAGTATTCTGGTTTCTCATTATTCAGAAAGATTTTCTGCAGATTTTCTGGAATATTATTGAAAAGACGACATTTGAAGAATCTTAAGAAATCTGCGATTAAATTCAAAGAAAAAAAGAAATTCAATTTAATGATGTAAACGAAGTAATTGATTCTAGCTTTGATTAATTGACAAATTTATTTTGAGAAATATGTTCTTAACCATCTAATTAGATTACTGTATATTTTTTACTTTATTTTTCGTTGTCGTTATTTAATAATTTAAAAGAAAAAATTCTGAAAACGTATCCACCCCCCAAAGTAGGAGTTTTGAACGTCGAATTTGCGCTCAAACTCAGGATTTACATATCTTTAAAAAGTTTATATGTCTCAAATGAATCCGAAAGAAGTTTCCCACACCACTGCATACTCAGTTCGACTACCTTACTTAGCCGGTCCCTCCCTTTAAATATTCACCTGATCTCAACTATTAACTTATTAGTTCTCCCGACCCCAAATTTTCAATATTCTAAATTAGATCGTAAACAAAATAGTTTTATAATAAAATGTTGTTAACTTATCGTGACTATAAAAATGTTCAGACTAATAATTTAACAACAAATAAATCTGAGAATATTTGATTCAAATATCAACAGTCTGAAAGTAGAAAAGAACTGGAAAAATATAAAAACAGGAATGTTTAATAATAATTTAATTTATTATCATTATTTTCTTGTTGGAATTATCAATTTTATTAACATCAAAATTAGTTTCCATTTTTTAAAATTTTGGTATAAAAAGTTATTTTCCTACAGTCTTCTTGACTATGAAATATGTTGAATGAAAGCTCTTTTTTTCCTTCATTCTATATCCATACTCCCCATATATATCCCTAGCTTATATCCTAGCTCACAAATCCTATAATATTCTTATCTTGTTTCCTAGTCTAATCACACCTTAGGTCTTTGCAATCCGTTCTATACTCCTTGCATAATAAACTACCCCTCCGGACTCCATACCCTCCTTACATAATAAACTACCCCTCCGACCTCCATACCCTCCTTGCATAATAAACTACCCCTCCAGACTCCATACCCTCCTTGCATTGTAAACTACCCCTCCGGCCTCCATACTCTCCATGCATTGTAAACTACCCCTCCGGCCTCCATACCCTCCTTGCATTGTAAACTACCCCTCCGGCCTCCATACCCTCCTTACATTATAAACTACCCCTCCGACCTCCATACCCTCCTTGCATTATAAACTACCCCTCCGGCCTCCATAACCTCCTTGCATTATAAACTACCCCTCCAGCCTCCATAACCTCCTTGCATAATAAACTACCCCTCCGGCCTCCATACCCTTCTGGCATTGTAAACTACCCCTCCGGCCTCCGTACCCTCCTTGCATTCTAAACTACCCCTCCGACCTCCATACCCTCCTTGCATTGTTACAATTTGTGTGAATTAGACATGGAGGATCACTTGAAATTAGGTTAATAGTCCCTTTAAGAAAAAATTATGTTTTGAAAATGTCAGGTCTTGTTCAATATATTTCAAAACAGAATTGACAGCAAAATTTGTGACGTATATTTAAATATGAATCCAAGCACGATATCTGATTATATATATTTCAAAATGCGGAGCAAAAAAACCTACTATAAACCTCCTATCAGATCTACAGTTTCAAAAGATAAAAAACTTTTTGTTTTAAAGTCTTAATTCTATAAATTACAGGATTTGATTTTTAAAATTTTATTTTAGATGGAGATCGTAAAGTAAAGAATGTGATTTTTAATTTGATTTTTCATCAGAATATAGTTTCTAAACTTATCTTATGCATATTTTCCTTAAAGGAATTGAGTCTTTGGAACAAAATCAAATATTTAAACCTCAATATCTTTAGAACTCAATGTTGTAAACCTTTGATATTTCAAACTCTGATTATTTGATCTAACAAAATTAATAGTTTGAAATATCTAAGGTCTGCAACATTTGGTTCCAAAGATATAGTGATTAGAAAATCAGAGTTTGTGGAAGAGTCAATTCCTTTCCCTTCATATCATATGGTCTATAGAAAATTTCAAAAAAAACTGAATTCACATGGAAATGGTTCCCAGGAGAAGTATCAGCCCCAAAAAGGGGGACTAAGTCCACGGTCTCACCCATTGAAAAGTGTGTGTCAAAGTTTATGTGCTACTGTTCAATATTGTGGAAAAAATATAAATTTTAGATTTTTTATTAGTAAATTTATTTTACATATTAAAAAATCGAGAATTTAAGTTAGCATTCAAATTTTTTTCTTGTTATTGCAAAATGAAAGTAGGTATAGGCTGAAGCATAGCAATCAATATAAGTTCTATCTGATGTCCGGCCTGTATTGGGAAATTGATATAAAACTGTGTCAAAGTTATACAAAAACTCATCTATAGAAGTATTATGGCCGACGAAGCCACATGACCAGTTACTGAACGGTCATTGGTGGAAATTCAGATTTATTCCGTATTTGCTAAATATGATCTGTTTGAATCTCTTATCACATATAAATATGAGTTTTGGTATAACTTTGACACTGTTTTATATCAATTTCTTGAGACAGGATCATCAGATTGAACTAATATTGATCAAGATCAACGTCTAAAATTTTTGGGCTTCATCTTATGCCCCCTTTCATTTAAGCTTAGCAGTCCCTGTAAATGATAATTCAAAGTAATCATTTTTCTAAAATTTATAAATTGTCATCATGGATTTTAAAAGGAGCAAGATGGAGCGCTAAAACACAAAGTTTTGATCTTTGAAGTGAAGAAATTTGATCTTTTGCAATGTACAATTTCTCAATAAAAAGTTTTAAGTCTTCAATCCTAACTTTGTTTAACTTTTGCATATTTCAGGTTTACATTCCTTCAAGTTTGATTGTTGGAATGTCCTGGGTTTCCTTCTGGTTGAACCGAGGAGCTGCTCCTGCTAGAGTTGGTCTAGGGGTCACTACAGTGCTAACCATGACAACTCTCATGTCAAGTGTAAACGCATCCCTGCCTAAAATCTCGTACATGAAGTCTATAGACATATATCTCGAGGTGTGCTTCTTTATGGTGTTCGGTGCTCTGATTGAGTACGCATGCGTAGGATATACCGCCAAGCGGATACAGCTGCGCAAAAACCGGTTCCTTGCCGTACAGAAACTAGCAGAGGAAAAGAAAGAAGAAGCTTTAAAACAAATGAGTAACATGAAGGTAACACATTGTATTCCAACTATTTACAGAATACACATGAACTTATTTGTTTATAAAAAAATCTACAAGGGGAAGGTATAATGAGTTATTCTTTATGTGTCATATTTGAATATTTTTGTTTTCATAGTAGCAATGAGCCATAATAACGCCCTTTTACGTGGCAGGGTGATTTTGACTTTCGGCAATCATTAATTAGAAAATATGTAAAATTCTTTCGATGCATTTGCAAGCGTTAAAAAAATTATCCCAGTCCCACTAGTTTTTAAAACATTCAAGATTATTTGGCTTTCAGGACACTAAACAAATCTGATAAGTTTATCATAGCTAAAAGTTTTTTTCTCTTCAAATGAAACCGTACAAAATGATATTCTTGTCTTGAGAGAGAAAATTGTTTTTCTTCTTTCTACTGTTTCATCTATAAATTACAAATAACAATCAACTTATATAAACCATAATTAGATCATGGTTGAATCAGCTCTTTGATTCAATTTAATAATTTGAGAAAAAAAACCACACAAAACTAACCTACATTTGGGTGTTGGGAAATTTTATAGATAATTTGAGAAATCCTCTTTGTCTAGAAATGTTCTGTTTATTAATTGTCCTGTCTATGAAATATCATTTCTTTGAAATGTCCTATCTATGAATTGTCCTATCTATGAATTGTCCTATCTATGAATTGTCCTGTCTATGAATTGTCCTGTCTATGAATTGTCCTGTTATGAATTGTCCTGTTATGAATTGTCCTGTCTATGAAATATAATTTCTATGAAATATCCTGTCTATGAATTGTCCTGTCTATGAATTGTCCTGTCTATGAATTGTCCTGTCTATGAATTGTCCTGTCTATGAATTGTCCTGTCTATGAATTGTCCTGTCTATGAAATATCATTTCTATGAAATATCATTTCTTTGAAAAGTCCTGTCTATGAATTGTCCTGTCTATGAATTGTCCCATCTATGAATAGTCCTGTCTATGAATTGTCCTGTCTATTAATTGTCCTGTTATGAATTGTCCTGTCTATGAAATATCATTTCTTTGAAATGCCCTGTCTATGAATTGTCCTGTCTATGAATTGTACTGTCTATGAATTGTCCTGTCTATGAATTGTCCTGTCTATGAATTGTACTGTCTATGAATTGTCCTGTCTATGAATTGTCCTGTTATGAATTGTCCTGTCTATAAAATATCATTTCTTTTAAGTTTCCTGTCTATGAATTGTCCTGTCTATGAATTGTCCTGTCTATGAATTGTCCTGTCTATGAATTGTCCTGTCTATAAATAGTTCTGTCTAAGAAATGTCTTGTCATCCGTACTAATGTCTCTCTCACTGACGTATTTCCTTCCAAAATCTTCTCTTTTTTAATGTTAAAGGTTTAACCTCTTTCAGAATTCATGAACATTCATTTTCAGGCAATGGAGTTGGATTTGAAGCAGCGTCACCCTGATAACTACCATATGCAAGGTTGCAGGGACGGAAGGATGCAAGGCCCCCCTCCTCCAATCCGCAGAGATCATCCTAAGCAGGTAGACGATGTTGGGCTCAGAGACAAAAGATTAAGACTCATTGCGGTGTTGCCATCCCTTTCTTTGGGGGGGGGGGGCAATGAAGGACGTATACAGAAATAAAACATATTCCACACATTAACACGTGATTGTGGAGGGGGATTGTGAGGTATAGCGTCTCAGCACCCCCACGGCCCACCCGTCCCCGCCTCCACCCTCCATGCAAACACCTGGGGAGGATTCTTTGCAGAAAAACTGCACTTTTTTTGCAATTATTAAAATCTGAACATATTTTTTTTGCCAACCTTTGAGAAAAGAAAATTTTCCGACTTTTCTTTAAGCCGCCAACATTGTTTAGAATATTTAAAAACGTCCTTCAAAACTTTATAAAAGTTGTCAAGAATTTAAAGTCTGAATATGGTCGTAAAGTGCATAAAGTTAAAGTTTTTGAATATTATGATGGCGGGGATATGAAAAAGTTTACTTATGAGTTAGGAACAGAATATTAGAAATTATGAACAAAATGTTAGAAATTATGAACAGCGTATCAGAAATTATAAACAGTATTCTAGAAATTATGAACAGAATATTAGAAACAATGAACAGAATTCTAGAAATTATGAACAGAATATTTGAAATTATGAACAGAATATTAGAAATTATGAACAGAATATTAGAAATTATGAACCGAATGATAGTAGAAATGCCGCTATTTGAGAGACATCTCAAACATCCTGTTGGTAGTTTGATATAGATAGTTAGAAAGATAGATATATATTCGACTGAATATTTTATTAGATTATAGAGGACGCATAAATAACTTCCAGTATATATATTTCTTATAACTTATTACTAGAGGGTTCAGAACTAGAGTCAATATCGATATCGCACGTGTAGACTGTAGAGATGATATCAGTACTAATGCCCCGTATCCGTTCTATCTCATTCTGTTGAATCTTGTGGAACTAGTTTAACGCGGCCAGGCATCGTCTTCCACAAGATAATAATTACAGGTTTAATTTACCCAGGGCCTCTCTAACCATTGCTGGTTGTTTTAAATAAGAGGCCGGCCCTTTTTCAGCGTTAAATGCATATTGAATTAAAATAAAAGGAAAAGGAGTAGATAGAGGAAAAAGTATTGCAGAATAGAGAGGAAAAAGGGTTAGATAGAGGAAAAGGTATTGAAGAATAGAAGAGGAAAAGGAGTAGATAGAGGAAAAAGTATTGAAAAATAGAGAGGAAAAGGAGTAGATAGAGGAAAAAGTATTGAAAAATAGAGAGAGAAAGGAGTAGATAGAGGAAAAGGTATTGAAAAATAGAGAGGAAAAGGAGTAGATAAAGGAAAAGGTATTGAAAAATAGAAAGGAAAAGGAGTAGATAGAGGAAAAGGTATTGAAGAATAGAGAGGAAAAGGAGTAGATAGAGGAAAAAGTATTGAAAAATAGAGAGGAAAAGGAGTAGATAGAGGAAAAAGTATTGAAAAATAGAGAGGGAAAGGAGTAGATAGAGGAAAAGGTATTGAAGAATAGAGAGGAAAAGGATTATATAGAGGAATAGGTATTGAAGAATAGAGAGGAAAAGGAGTAGATAGAGGAAAAAGTATTGAAAAATAGAGAGGGAAAGGAGTAGATAGAGGAAAAGGTATTGAAGAATAGAGAGGAAAAGGATTATATAGAGGAAAAGGTATTGAAGAATAGAGAGGAAAAGGAGTAGATAGAGGAA